CGACCTCAAAGATCTGGCCCATTTTGGACTCTCTGCCAGCTTGGAAGAGTCTTTGCCAGTCGCAAGAGAATTGGCGCTTCTGCTATATGGAAAAAAGGAAATTGGACTGATGTGCACAAACTTGGATGCACTGAGGTTCATAATAATTGTATCAACAACAGATGCAGCCTCGGAAAATCTGCCGCCAACAGAGGATGCATTTCAACAAAGAGCAATGTTTCAGACAGCGATGGTGTCACAGCCCGAACCCAAACCCTTGTTATGGAGTCCTATTGGCAAGGGGTCGATTGTCAGAGATGGGGTCATTCAACCAGTGCTATTTACAAAACCCCCAGCACCAACAGAAGTGAGAGACATTACTCGCTTGTATTGCAAAGATGCAAAGTGTCGAGAGAGTTAAAAGTGCCAGTGCCTCTCTGTTGGCCTTCCCTGTACTTCCCCTGCACCTGCTGTGCAGAATGTCAACGTGTCCCCTAACGTTTCTAAGGAACCTGACATTTAACATTATATTCTAGTATCTATATAGTGGACCTCTCACTGAATTATTTGATGAATTTTATACTGTACTTTGAATTAAGGTTCCAGTTTCAATAAAACCTGTACTATTTACACCTATGTTTTAGAGGCTTGCAATTTAGAACTAATACACTTTATTGTATTGGGTTATTCTGACTATTTGGTGATGTAGTTTAGCCACCTGGTATTTCCCTCTCCAAATATAATGACCATCAGAGTAAGCATTCTTAACTTATAAGCTATTGTGCCACTTATCCCCCATTCGGAATTTGACTGTCTCAGAGAAGAGGTAGGCCTATGTCTAAATAAATCTCATTTGCAATAGAACTGTACCAGATATTTCCATACAACTACTGGTTAGTGTTCAATAGCACCCTAGACAATTCAGTAATGGTATATTTTTTAGGGATTTCGGTTTTTCTGATAAATGAGAGAAAAGTGATTGAGTCCTATGTTCCTATCACCAAAAAGTACAATTTCCGTCTAAACTAAAGCTAAGTTTATAGGACTATAATTCCGTATTTGTTTAGTTAAATAATTGTCTGACTATTTAGTGATGTAGGACAGCCAACTGGTTCATACCTCAGCAAATCTGAAGAGGAAAAGAGTTGTCATTCTCAAATTATGGGCTTTTTTGTCACCTTTCCCACATTCGGCCTGGTCTAATTCTAAAGAACAACCCAAAAAACATTTTGTTCCCCAAAGTAAAATTTGAAAACAATAATTTTCATTAATGGGAGACCCTAAAGATAAAAAAAATAATTGTTGTCATTTGTTCTACCTCGGGTAGGGGTATTTCGAAAACTAAAGCCTTTTTTGAGGACTTGCTGCTGGACTATTAAGAGTGTATCAAAAATGTGCACACAAACCAGTGTCGTATTTTTTTTACTGTTATGAATGATCATACGTGATGACGTCGTTCAAGGATTCGCTATCGATGTCCGACAAATCGAACAACAAACGGAAGTGAAGCATGAGGAAAAAAAGAGATGTTTTGTGTATGAAGTTAGTTAGCTAACCTTAAGTTGTGTTGTCATTTAAAATAAGTCAAGCATTGCATTGTGGAAGGAAGCATTTTCTTCTGTTTGATATCCTCCGAAATTAGATAGTCCTCCTGGTCTCTTTCTCTGAGAGCAGGAACGAAGAGTCAGGTACGTTGTGCTCAAGATACCATTGGACAAATCTTCAAGCTAATGCTAGCTAACAAACCAAGAGTCAGACTGTGTTTTTACAATTGCTTACCTATGTTATCTTTCAAATAACTAGAGTAACGTTTGTCAGCAACGTTTGATGAAGTAGATAACGTCTGTGTTCACGTTATCACAATATAGCAACAACGTCAGGCTAACCTGGAACAATGCTGACTTACTAAAGTTATTTGTTACCTGGTGTAAATTGTTGCTAACTTAGCCGTACACCTAACGTCGCATTTAGAGGGAATTACCTCGTTGCCTTTTCATCTCATGTTCCATTTAAACTTGATGCAAGAGCCCTTATATTTTGAGATGATTGGGCATAATTGACACATCGTTATAACTATGAAAACGCTACATGCTGGTCCGAGTAAAGGCTGCATTTCTAAACGGGCCACATAGGAAATGCTGTGGAGCTCATGATCCAAGGTCCCTAAAGATCCTAGGTTCAATGATTAGCAATTGATCCTGTTTGTACATTATTTTGTAAAATAACACAAACTATAGGGCCAGGTACTGATAAATCAACATAGAAGTACTATCTGAGGGGACATATTGAAGTTTGTAGTCTGCTGCTTGGACTGTAGACCCACTTGCTGGGAACATGAGCATCCACTTACGATTGAAAGTGGGGTCTTAGCAGCACATTTTAACCCTAGAGCCCAAAAACCTGTACAGTGAAAACCTGTTTTTGTCCAGATATGAAAACGGTTCACGATGTTCTCCTCGCATAGCAAAAAAGTATCTGGTTTACTTGAAATGTTTGCCATAACATCATTTCTAATGGATCACTTACTATATTTGTTCTGATTATCATCATTGCTGTTTTTGATGTGTGTTGTACTCTGTCAGCCAGGATGGATCCAGCTCTACTGAGGGAGAGGGAGCTGTTCAAGAAAAGAGCTCTGTCCACCCCAGCTGTAGAGAAGAGACATGCTGCCTCTGACTCGGGGTCCCATAAGAGGAAGAAGCCCAAAGTTGAGAAAGACGGCTCCTCTGGATCCAAACACGGCTCTGGTAAGTAAAGGATAAAAAAGATTGTCTTGATTCTTTTTTCAACATTCACAGTCAGTAATAGTAAACTGCGGGCACAGATCCTCTTATTTTGCGGTTGAATGTGGATGAAAACACGAGGCACCTCAGTGTTTTTATAGGAGTTCCTCAACTATTCTGTTTCTGGAAAAACAAAATGCTTTTAGAGCATCCATCAGCTTTTGGAAGTTGTGGTAACTCCTTCCTTTTCCACCATCATGACTGTATCAGCTGAAGGCCATGCTCTTATGAGATCTTCTGGCATCCCAAATTGAAAGTTTGTTCAGGAAAACTACTGTTTATATGTGCATGTTTATAGCAGTAGGGTCTAGGCGGTTGAAGTAGCTACAAAGTTTCCTCGTCAGTTTGAACTTCCCTTTGGACAACTTCTTCCATGATATTTTGACATGATATTTGCCCCATGCTAAGCTCACATTGTCTGAGCTCATGTTTTCATGCTCATGCTTCAGTTCTGCTTTCAAATGTTCTTATTCATAAACGGCAATGTCCTCATCATCAGTAGCTTTAGGTACATCCTTGTCGTCAGGGCTAATGTAGTCAGAACCCTCTATTATTAAAACATCCTGCTCTGCTCTAACCCTGACACCCAGGTGCTGTACCATCGTGTCATAGAGACACTAAGCACATCTTTGCCATCATTTGGTCTGTATTTATTCATAGTTCACAGTGACAGAACAGTGCCATCCTTTGGCCAACCCAGGTAAACACGACCTAAGAATTTGTCACCTGCGGGTTACCCTGAATAACATTTGTAAGTCTCTTTCATACCACAGGTATCTAGAGACCTTGGAACCTTTACGGAGTAAAAGTAGTGCTAATAGGAAATCCTTTTAGACAAACCAGAGTTAAGCATTGTTAAAAAATGTTGCGTTTTAAAGAAGCCCGGTGAGTTGAATGTTTAATGGAATTAAATGAATACAGTAGACAAGGTTGAATATGTTCTCAGGTTGCTAAAGACCCGAGGTATGCATTTAAGAGTTGATTAAATAAAAAACTGCAGTTTGATCAATGTGTCAAACACACTTGTACATACAAGTAAATACAGAAATAGAAACAGTGCTAGTTTGATACGTATGTCCACGCTAGTATGGGTACGTTACTGTGACATTAATATTGTCATCTTTCTGGCCAGTATTAACAGCATTTGACCTGATCTGGCCTGATGGTGAAGCACTTCCAACTAGCAGAGCTATGTCTGCACAGCCCAGTGTTAGCACAAATGATCATGTTCAGAAAGATTTGTAATTAAGCACATTTATAATGAAAGTTGCAAAATATTAGGAACAGTAATACACGTCTTCTAATTATTTTGAGGCCAGGCTAAGCTCTACACTAAAATGTTTTACGTATCTTACCTTTCCTGTTCCCTTTTATATTTTTATATAGCATTTCTCTAAACAGAAAAAAAAGGCTGGTACAGAATGAAGTGGCAATTTATTAGGCATTGTGTGGTAAGGCCTGTTCAAATCATACATTGTTCATAATATGACATGATAAATTACATCACTGTGCAGCAACCAAGTGTCCCTTGACTTGAGATAATGTTGACATTTTAAAACATGTTGACATCACTGGCCATCAATTAACTAAAGAACAAAGAAACACAAGCTTTATTCAAAGTAACACCGTTTGCCAGCTAAGCTTGATCATTTATTGGCTGTTCGTCAGGTCCTGTTGGGAAACAATGATAATGAAGTCTTTACATTTGGACAGCGTGTTCTGTCTGTTTACAACATTTGACCATGTCTCTTAGAAGCTCATTTTTTTCATTGACATCCGGCTCATAAGTATGTGCAGTGCTCACAGGGCAGAAGGATTTTCATTCAACAAGCTGATATTGCGTGTTATTAGTGTTTTTATGCTAAAATAGCCACACTTATTAAACTACTTGGGCTCTCTTTTTCTCTGGTTGTGTTTCTGGAGTCAAATATGGCTTTTAGTGTCTGCAATATGTGTTGGTGGTAGTGAACGCTAATGTGCGAAGATTCCCTCATTACTGAAATTTGTTTCCAAATTGGTGACAAACTGACTCTTTTTTTACATTGTTCTGTCCCCTTATCTCCTCTCTCTGCATCCTCTAAACTGTGAGCAATGAAACCACTATTGGGCACTAGGAACTTCTTTTCTCAGGTCATCAGGGTCATGGTTGTGTTATTGCCCAGGTCAGAGCTGAAGCCCAAATCCCCATCTTCCTCATCTTCCTCCTTATAGCTGCCTTTATACCACCTCAGTGCAGGATTCTGGCTCCTTGCAAATGCTGGTCATGAGCTTGCCGCAGCTCCCCGGCCCCTCCTCCTGTAGCTGGTGATGTGTCTTCCCTTTGGCACAGCACCCACAGTCCAGTAGCTCATAGAGCACGGCCAAAGCAGCCAGAGACACGACGGTGAGGATGAAGAGCAGAAGGATGATAAAGCAAGCCACATTCCAGCCATCATGGAAAGGGTAGACCTCCTGGACCTGCAAGGACACACGGGAGAGAAGCGCCGCCTCTGGCTGCCCCGGGAGATAGCCTGGGTGTATCGTGGTAGTGATGTTGGCCATGATATCTGGTTTGAAGCAAGAAGAAGAGCGTAGAGAAAGACAGATTGTTAATGCGTGCGACACAGTGGGAATCTAGGTATCGCTGCGAGGAGGTGGCAGCAGTCGGGAGACCAAATTAGAGTACAACGGTCGTAAAATACCTGTTTCCATGGTGAGAAGATGATTAGAAAATGAAATTGGTAGAAGAATGTCTGGAAAAAAAACTCTGCGGTTCATGTGCCTGAATTTCATTTTCACTTTTATACTGCTAATGTACTATTTGACATGGAGAATACTTGTAATTGAACTAAGAACATTTGTTATTAGAGCTAAAGGTTATATGGCAATTGAGCATAAACCCTGTTGAGGCCATCTGCCTTGAGCTTGGTAGAAAAGGAAGGCAGCATCTGTGCTTGGTGTGCAACTCTTTGGCCCTAACAACTGAAAATAAATGTTAAAAATAAGAACTGCTTACTGTAGTAATAAGTAGAAGTTCTGGAGTATGCACACTGTTAGGCCATTTGTGTCGCTACAGCTATCCTTTGACATTTTCAGCCAAAGCCTACCATTTTAAACGGCACAGCATACTAGTGTCTCTGCCCACACACACATTCACGTGTGAGCACATACATGCTCTTAACACACATGTGCACACACACAGCTACAGATGTTTTCATATCGCATACTGAGACCAGGGAAGCTGACCTAGATTACTTGAGGGAACCACAGAAATGATTTGAGTTGGAGGGGCATTGGTGTCTCTCTTCACACAAGGCTAATTCCATAAGGTTACATTGTTTCTGCATTTGTATAACTACAACTGTATAAAAACACAGATTCATGTATGCAGGGTAGATTTGTGGCATCTTAGAGTATATACTGTATATGTGTATTTCAGTGCAGTTTAGGTGATGAGTGCTTCTTGTATGATGGTAACCTGGTTTTCTTGTTACTTGAAACCGTAATGTGATAGAACCTGTCTCTGTCCTGGCTTCATTAGTCTCAACAAATGTTCAATTCAGGAAGTGGCCTAAGTGCAGATGGTATGATTTTAAATTGGACTATGTAAGGCTGGAAAAAAATACTACCAAGGGGTCACACAAGGTTATAACTGCATTAACTGTGAGTGGTTTAGGAGAGCAGACTGACGCACATCTGTTTACAGAGTGCACAGAATCCAACTCAACTCCATTTAGCAACCTCTTATTGCAGACCTTGCTCCTAATATCAACACTTCAACTCATTGCCATGACAACAACCTCTTTTAACTATTTTGTCTCCGCTGGTATTGCTCCCCCCGTTCCTCTTTTGTCAGAGCAGTCACATACACATTGACAGATTGGCTCCCTAAAGCATCTGTTATCTCTCCCCCCAAAATGAGCCCCACCCCAGCCTGGCTTTTAAAGGTGTTGTGGGATCATATATTGCTCTCTTCTGCCTCTCATTAAACACACTCAAACAAACACACCAAATACACTTATGCACTCTTAATGCCCCTGGCTGGCTCCTCACAGCTGTCTGTCCCTGATTGATTTATCTTGAGAGCTGCAGTTTGCACAGAGTCATGCATTTCCACAAAACAGAGTGCATCCATATGAGAACAGACACAGAAACACAGTGTTGGATGTTTGGTATTCCAGCGGGAAGTGTGCTGACAGACAGATCCATGTTTATTTAATCCATTACGTGCTTGCCCAGTCTTGGCCTAAATATTACAAGTGCCACCTAAAGCTCTTCGCTTGGAAATTGTTATACTATAAATAACATTTCCCATTCTTAGTTGTTAGATATAGTGATTTGCAATTGAATGCAGAAGGAATCGGCTTCATAGAATTGCTGCCTATAAAACATTTATGATTTACCATGTGAATGCTGGGTTGCAGGCAAACAGAAACCTTATATGATGCGCGCACAGCCTGTAGCTTAAAGGACCACTCTGGAGTGTTATGATGTGCTGATGTCAAACACATTATTGGGACGATGCTATTCTGAAAATACGCAGACTCACCTGTGTGTCTGGCTCAGTCTCCAGAAGATGCGAGTCAACAGATGCACTCGTGTGTGTTCGGTGCTCCACCTATTGCTCTGTCTCGTACTCTCTCCTTCATCTGTGTTCACTCCTCGACCCGGTTTCCTCCCCAGCACACTCTCACGCACTATCAGCCGTCAGCTCGTGCACTCCCTCACCCCCCTCCGCCACTCCTTGCTGCTCCTCACGTCTCAGCCGAACAGAACGGGCTACTCTCTCCCTCATTGGCTCTTTTCTTTAAGCCCTGCCTCTGCACCATTCGTTAAACGGCCTGTCACAATGTCAGCGTCCTGCCCACAGTGCAGCTCTCAGCAGCAGAAGCTCCCGCCCACACCATGCATCATTCATGTATCGGTGTCTGTTTACAGCTCTGATTGGAGAGTCCAGACCTCCGACAGACTACAGGGGGGGGGGGACTCCCACAGAGAATAGGACCAGCTGGCCAGACTTCAAATCATTCTTAATAGATTAATCTCATATACTCCTGTACTACTAGAACATGTTTGTCACAGTAAATTATAAGGCTGTTAATAAACTGTATTAACTTATTGTTATCACATGCAATGAAAATACCAAAACTAACAATGAGCTGATCCAGCTAACACATTATTACTTTTTAGCCACAACCTGATACAGTATATCTGTTTCCTCTGCGCCAAAAGAGCTCCATAGTTTCCATAGTAATCAACAAGCCATACTGTTGCTCTAGGGTTGGCTTTATATCATGAACACATTCAAGTTTAAACATTGTATACACAAAAAAGAAAATGCAATGGTTATAATATATGGACAGGAAAAAATACAATGAAATGGCTACATATAATTAACAAATGAATTGTTCCTCAAAAAATATTTGTACTGCTGCTGAAACCCTCGTCCATGCCCTCATCGTTTTCCAGACTCGATTAGCATACTCTACGGTTGACCAAACTCACCAACAAACTGCAATACGTCCAGAACTCCGCCGCCCGCCTGCTCACCTCCAACCCCCTCCGAGACCACCTCACTCCGGTCCTCCACATCCTCCATTGGCTCCCGGTAAAATACAGAATCCACTTCAAAATACCATTCACCACCTTCAGAGCCCTAAACAACCTGGCCCCTCCCTATCTCTCTGACCTCGTCCACTGTCACATCCCCACCCGTTGCCTCAGGTCCGGAGACACAAGCACCCTAAAGACCCCCAGGACTTCGGACCTGGGGTGACGGGGCCTTCTCTGCTGCCGCACCATGGCTCTGGAACACTCTCCCTATACATCAGACAATCAACGACCCAATCATCCTTCTAACAAGCCCTCAAAAACCCACCTCTTCAAAGTTCCATTTCCCTTGGAACCCCCACCCCCCCATGTCATAACTCCACCTGAATGTTAAATAGTCTGTTTTTCTTGTGCAACTGTGTTAAATGGGACTTCTGTAGAGCGCTATATACATTTAATTACATGTATTATTATATATTGAAGTTTACAGAGGTATATCCTCCTGAGACCAAGCCCATTGACCCATGTCCTCTGTAGTAGATATGTTGTTCACATGCTTCTCCTTTTATTCTTTTGAGCTACTCTATCAATCTCTGCTGCACTGTACGAGGACATCCCGGGCATATGTTTGTACGCTTTTAAAAAAGAGTTATACTTTTTAGTAGAAACTAATAGGCTTTAGTCTGAAGGTGCCTCTGACACATGGCTGGTTTTATTCTTTTCCTGGGATTTCTTGACAAGATGTAAAACAATGCAAGCAATTTCAACTCTAAATAAAGATGAATGGCCTTATTGAAAAGATTATAATTTCGTTTTTGTCTTATGACTGGTTCTAAAGAAAAAAGAAGATTTTTAAATGAATATTCACAAAAATCTGTGGCTTATGATATAGTAGTTTTGGTGCCAGCCTTTACAAACAATGTGACATTTATATATCTTTCCATAACCGCTCCTTCTCTTTTCTCCTCAGAGTCTAGTAATGGCAAATTTAACATCAAGACGAGCTCTGGGTACAAGTTTGGCTGCCTGGCCAAGATAGTCAATTATATGAAGGTACGTACGTCTTCAGAGACACTTCCTCTTTGAAAGGAACATTCTTCCTCAATGTACTGGTGATTGTGTTAATATTTTTCTCCTCTGCATATTAACCAAATATTGAATTCAGTCTCATCGAAGCTTTCCCAACAGCATCTATTTAATTGCTAGATTTGAAGGTTGTCGTCATCTCCATTAAAGCACTTTAGAAGCTCTTGTTGTGTGTCAGCCCAGTGAGTCAGTTGTGTCGCGGTGTAACATTTGGTCCTCAGTCTTTCTTTTGGTACGTTAACAGCTTGTTTTTAATGCTGTGATTCTGAAAGAGGCTGCCCGGACCCGTCACAGTCCCTCTCTGACTCATCTCCCACACTCAAGTTGTCAGATTTTCTTTTAATGTGTTCACTTTTTGTGCCATCTGTTGAATAAACAGTTTGAATCCATGTAACATAACATAACAGTTAGATGTAAGGCATAAGATATACCGTAGACATTTGGCTGAAACATTGTCAAAGATGGGAGCTAATAATTACGTATTTAAATGTGAACTGTCATTTCAAATGTTGTTGACTGGTCATGCGCATCTCTCTCCTTCACTCTCAGACAAGACATCAGAATGGTGATACACACCACCTGAACCTAGAAGAGATTCTGGATGAGACCAAACTTCTGGACATCAGCATGAAACAGAAGCAGTGGCTTATGACTGAGGTGTGTTTCTGGACTTTGGTTTTATACTGCTCTTTAGTTCAGGAGTAGACCTGTCCTATTCCTACAACATTTCACTCGCCTGCTTTAAAGCTGAAATCCCCACAACACTTATATTCCCTCAAAGTCATCTGTGGGCTGATGTGAGTCACAACCCCCTGTACTGTATGTTGCAAATGAAGAATGCCATTGAGAAGCAAGAGTGACAATGCTGATGACACATCTGAAAAACGTTCAATAACTTCTTGTTGTTAAAAGTAGAAAAACAATATGAACTTAGGAAAATAACTGATTTAATTGTGGCTTTAGTTTAACTTTCTACGTGGTAGCTTTGTGTTATATAAAAGTAAAGACATAATTACAATTCTAAAGATTTGAATGGTACCACAAAATGAATGAATAGTATTAAGATTGACAAACTAGTATTAAATAAACTTACATTATATTTACATCGCATAATTGTTTAATCCCTATATACAGTACAACCCCAAGCTTGTCGAAAAGTTCAAGATGCAATTGGTAACTGATAAGATTCAGCCACTAGATGGGGCCCTCCCCCTCCCCCTCGACCTCCCTGGTTCATATGGTGTTCAGGTCATGACAACATGGTGGCCAGTTTGATGCACAACCTGCATGTTTTATGCACAGTATGTACGTGTAGTTCCCTGATAATAAGAGAGACTTAGAGATGTATGACCTGAAATCTACTTCTTCACTCTCTAAAACCATCAGGCTCTGGCCAACAACCCAAAAATTGACGTCCGGGATGGGTCGTACGGCTTCAAGCCCAAGTACAACCTGAAGGACAAGAAAGCGTTACTGAGGCTGCTGGACAAACACGACCAGCTGGGCCTGGGAGGCGTGCTGCTGGACGACGTCGAGGAGGGGTTGCCCAACTCCGCCAAGGCCATCAAGGTAACACACATTCATGTTATTTATGCTAAGCACCCCATACAGTTGCGTCTCACACCTTTTTGTATAATGAGTAAACACCATGGAGGATACAAAATGAGGATCAGCAGAGACATGAGCTCTCGTGTGTTCGCAGGCTTTGGGGGATCAGATCATCTTTGTGACACGGCCGGATAAAAAGAAGATCCTATTCTACAATGACAAGCACTGCCAGTTTACAGTAGACGAAGGTGAGAAGAAGTCTTGTGTTCTAAGGCTGTCTGTGAAGTATTTCTGAAATTAATCTCTGTACCTAAAAGATTTGGATGTTTTTTCGAAGTTTTTTTAATTGGTTATTCAAGAGCATATACAGGCAATAACAATTCAAGTTTATTTCACCATACATGTATATGTTTATGTCTTTGCAGATATAATTATAGATCTATAAAAAAAAATGTCAAGCTTACTTTCATATTCCTTTTGTCCAGTTCATCCAGGTTTTTTTGTGTTTGTTTGGTTAACATCATGAAATCTAAGGTGTCCAGCTGGTCAATCGGTGTGCTTCTTGCTCAAAAATGTATTCAATTGTAGAATTCCAGAAATTGTGGAGGAGCGTTCCCGTGGATTCCATAGATGACGAAAAGATTGACGAATACCTGAAAAAGCAAGGCATCTCCTCCATGCAAGAAACAGGACCAAAGAAAGTGGTCAGTGTCCCCTGGTTTCCCCATCTGCTCTCTTTATTATTCTAATGCCCAACATTTGAATATACTTTCCCTGATTTATTATACTAGAAAAAAGGTTTCAGTATTTGTAAAGTTTGTGAATCAATCATCTTGAATCTCTGCTGATGATGTTCACCTTCTCCCTGCAGTTACCAATTCATAAGAGGAAGAAAGGTGGGCAGAAGAAGAGAAACTTCAAGACACACAACAACCATTTGGCCGGCGTGCTGGAGGACTACACAGATGGTGTTCCCTCTAAGAAGTGAGATCCGTTCCCTCGCTGCCTCATGGCCTCAAAGGAGTGACGGGTGTAGAATCTGTAAATCCAAAATGGCTGGAGATGGAGACCCCGGCCTCACAACAATACAAAGACTTTTTACCTGTTTGTTGTATCAAAACTGGGTTATTTTGATAAGTGGTACTTTATAACAGGGTGTGAATAGAAACTGTGCAGTGCAATCATTTGAGTTTATTGATCAGTGATAACTGGAGGAAAAGAGTACCAAGACCCTTTAAGGACGCTGAAGGCCCGTACCGAAACCATCATCCTTGAAGGGGTGCTGCAACCTCACTGTTCAAATGTAAATGAGGTTGAAGTGTGTTAATACTTTTTTCTTAATTTGATAGTATCAAATTACTTGTTAGTATTATTTCAAAGGGCAGCAGTCCTCCCCTTATTGCAGCCTTCCATCTTTTTAATAGGAATAGCAGAAGACAGGCGTGTGTTGTGCAGTGCATCACATGGAGGTCTCTCATCCAGCTTGGACATTACTTCTCCTTTCATTTCAAAGTACATTCTTTGCAGCACCATGGCATAGTGGTTTAAAATACTTAAACTTTTTGAACTTATTTTAATAAATTACACTGTTACAGTAAATGGCCTCTGCTTGATTTATATGACTACAGTGACAACAATTCTAATGAGTTTAGTGTTGGTAAATGTAAATATATACGGAAAGTATTTGGAAATTTGCTACAGCATCTGTTCTCGCTGTACTATAAAACCTAGCAATGACATTAGAGGTAGCCACTGTAATCATAAATGAGCCTACACACACCGTCAGCATTTTTTAGGTTATTTAATGAATCATAGAAAAGGGTACATCAGCACAGCAAGATAAAGAGGAAAAACTGAATCAGCTGTTGTGGTTATATTAGAAAATATTTATCAAGAGACATTTTCCTGATGAAGCTAAGTACATATTATATGGTCATATACATTCATACTACCTGCCAGAATGTGGTATTTAAATATGGGTTTGCTAGCCATTAACAATGAACTAACAACAAAAGGGAACATTTCCATTTAGCTGGCGTTGTGGCCAGCTTTAACAGTTTTCTTCAAATGGTGGTAGTTTGGCAAAATCTTCATCAGAAAGTCGAGTTGAAGAGTCTGGGGCTGTAAGGATTTAAAAAATAAATTGAAGACATAAATGTTGCTTTTCACAATACTTTCAAACTCAGGCCATGTGTTATAGTATTTTCCTGAACAGCAAAAAATTTGCCCGCTGTTATTAAGATAATATATTGCATTTTGATACATATGTGATAATATTGTATTTTTAAACTTATGGTAGTTTATGTCAAAGTTGTAAGACATGAAATAGCCATTTGAAAATGGGCAAGATTATTATATGAACCAAAATGTTTAATAATTTAGAGCAGGGACTAACCATTAAGCACAGTGTTTCACAGTCATGTTTCAAATAGGCATATTCACATAATCTGATGTGTGTTTTTGGCAATAGTATTGGTGTACTGCTCACCCCTTAGGCTTTAAGTACATAAACCAACATGACATTAAGATAATTTATCAAATCAGTTTGACAAAGCTGAATCAAACTAAAGGCTATTTGGTCCACATGGTTTGTATTTAATTAAGCAGGAAAGGTATGCTGTTGAAATCTGCCAGCACATAGTAAATGTTCACATAAAGTGTTGTGTTTATCATTATGACAACAGTTGGGACACTTATAAGAAAGGAACTGCCTAGAATAAATACATGGGCTTTGCCTGTATATAAAATTGCATCTACTATAAAACAGATCCATAGACAAAAGCCTCTTGTTACCAATGTGTTAGAGCAACACCTCTCTGACTTTCTACAAATAAACCTACATTTTAATGGTCTAGCCGAAAAATGTAATGGAATGCTGTAGTACCTGTGGTCTCTCCGTCTGAACCCGCCTCATACATCCAGAGCCGTAGATGACCGTGTTTTCAGGAATGACTTCACACGTGTTGACCTGACAGAAGGCTCCAATGATACAGCCACTGGTGAGGATCACATTCCTACCAACGTCAGCTAGAGAACGAAATAGAGGACATTTGATACGGTGAGTGACAATTTCTCTGAATCTCCCATGCAACTTTGCATACGTGGGTTGCTCATACATGAAAATACAAGAAGAAAGCCAACATCCAACCTTTGGATTCAATGACGTTGTTGTCCCCAATTTTCAGGGCTTGTGATACTGTTGGTTGTTAGTTAAGGCAACATTTATGTTTGATTGTTATGATTCCTGAATGCCTATAATATCAAATCATTTCACTTATAGATAAGACCTGTCAGGAAAGTCAAAAGGATACCACAGCCAACTTCAAATACATTGTTCATGCCAATGGTCATTGTTTTTGGTTCCACCTCAGACTCTGGTTTGATGTTTTCTGGATAACTGTGGTGTAGAACAAACATGATGGTAATTATATAGATGCAGGATAAATTGAAAACAGAGATTACGTATCTTGAATGTTGAACAGTGATAAACAGGGCATGGGTACAAGGAATCTTGAATACCCATTAATAATCAGAGCCTGCTCCTCTATTAAATTGCCTTCTCCAATCACAATGGGCCCTGCCTCTGCAATGATACGAGCTTTTGGGTGGACTACTGTCCTGGGGCCTGTGGAAACACACATTATTGAAACAACCGAAGAATAAGTTGAGAGTCCGATTTGACGTAAACAAATGCAAGTTCTGTCAAGTCAGCAGTGACCAATGTCACTTGGAATTGTTCCAAAGCGAAACATCTTACCTATGGTCACATCTCCTCTGATTTCACTTTCAACACAAACTACGGCTCCAGCTGCTATTTTGACACTGCAAAAAAAGTAAAAGAGGACCAGAGAAAACATGTTAGCTAAGTATGCTAGCTAGCCAACTTGCTAGCAGTTTACACTAGGTACATCATTACTTTATCTCTATAGTCATCATTTGATCGGATACTAACTTTTAGCTAAGCTGTTAAACATCATTAGTGGGCTAACAATGGTATTACCTTTTCTGAGCATTTTGTTTATCTGCCATTGTGATAGATGCAATCCTATGGGAGGATCCAATGATTCACTCGACTATCGATTTCGAGTCCTTGCTGCCACTGCTTATGCGCATGCGTCAACCGACGTAATACGATTGGCTGTACAAAGCATGATACAAAGAGATGGCTCTGAAGACTTTAACATGATTATCTGTTTACATATGGGGATTCGGAAGAATTCCATTCATTCAAAAACTCCTTTTTTTCTGTGGAAAAAGGATCAATAACAAATGTTTTAACACAAGCGTGTTTAAATAAACAAGATAATAAACGTTACCATAGCTACGGAGATTGAAGCCGCATGTATCACCAGCTCCATTCGGCATCCAATCCATACTGTTACATTATAGCTTTTACTGAGCCCGTTTTTATCTGGGCAGTCTATGGAATATTTGATTTTAACGTTAGCATGGACAAGCAACAGTAGCAATCCGTTGGATAAAATTAATGTATTTGAAGATACAACTTATGGCCAAAAGTTAAAAAAAAGAAAGAATGTTTTAGCTAATAAAATATGTAAAGGAATGAGTGCACAGTTTGGCAATGTTATCTTAGCACTGCATAAATGTAGTGGGATTGAGCAATAGGTGTGTAACGTTAGTGTCCCTTTAGGAGCGACAAACAGGTAACGTTAGCGGTAGTGATGTAGTTTGACACTCATCGCTCCCACTACAATGTCAAAACAAGGAAGGGTCGGAAGTGGCATCTGCTATGGAAAAAAGGAAACGAAAAAAGAATCTTCAGATTTTGGAGTGAAACGATTAAGACAGAAAGTCATGACAAAACCAGAGAAATATATGTTTCCCCTTGCTGCCCTTGCTTTGGTTGTAGCTGTTTGCGTGGTACCACTGACAGCTGACATATCTAACGTCACCTGTAAGTATCCAGGACTTTTGACAAGAACAAGCAGGATAATGCTAGGTTAGCTTAGCTAGTTACCAAATGTCTACGTAAATGTACGTCTCATACACCGGTTTATTTGTTGACATTTCATTGACCATGGCTTTTACCAACCAACTGTACAGCCGCTACAAATAGATATATTGTAGTTAAATGTGTTGTCCATTAATAACATTTCTTAGGCTGGTGCTAACCGTAGATAAACCTTAAACGGCTTCAACTCAAAGGAAGACAGTTGACAGTCCACAAATGAGCTCCAGACATTTAAACTTCCCTCCTGGGGGTATTGGACGGATTAATACAGCATGTGACCACAGGGCTCTGCAGCCATAACTTCAGCCCTCTCACATGCTTTCCTCTTCCTGGGAGCAACGCTAGCTGACTGGTTGTAGCTTGCTGTTAGATTTGGTATATATTTTTAAACTGTGGCTACCCATTTAGTTTTGCTACCATACACGTTTGAATGGAATAGGATTCTTGTCTATATCGATAGCCGTGAATCATATGTTTAAGGTAAGTTAATTGTACGGCTGTAGCACATAGAAAGGCTTTAAAAGCAACGCCATATTTGTATGATTTCTCTGATGTATAGAGTATGTCAGTGAAGAAGTAGTCAGGAAAACTGGGATTATTTTACTCATTGCTATTGGTTGTAGTCACAACGACCATAGTTCTCTTTTTGAGTAGGCTAATGATCTTGAAGTCTGTTCAGTAAACAGTGGCTTTACAGTCTGGTGTGGCCAGCTAAGCTGTAACATCTTGTCTATGTAGAAATGTATTTGCTTAATCATTTCAGCTAATATGTGTACTGCTTTTTATTACTCCAGCTACTCGGCATATAGCCCACAGGATGGATGAGGCGATTCTGACAGTCAACAATGAGCTGGACACTGAGCTGGTGGTGTCCTGGATGTCAGAGCGATGCTATCAGGTACCAGATATTTCCTTGCATTTCTTTCTGTGGACATATGACTTGTTTCAGATGAGGATGGTGATGGTTGTTCTGATCTGGACCTTTGTTTCCTTGTGTGTTAGTGTTTGTACCAGCAGTTGGGTGTTGTCCCCGCAGGACCCACTCCTGGCCAGCCCAGTTCAGTAGACTTTGTTGTGGGCACACAGCATGGAATTACACTACAGCTCAACAGCACCATCATCAACCTGGAGCTCTGCACGTGAGTTCAAGAACACTAGCAGTATAAATGTTTTATTACTGGCTTTGTGTCATGTAATGACAGACGACTTTTAAATAGAATGTATAATTAACTATAAATGTTATTAACCAACTACACACAATCTGTAAACAAGTCTTTAGCTCTAATAAGCTTACATGTATTTTACAAAATGTCTTGGTTTTAATGTAAAACATATTTTGTGGTATTAAAAATGAAATAGGATATGAATTGGATTAAGAGAAATTGCCTTGATTATACAGCTGGGCTAATTATGAATGAATAAGAATGAAAGAACATTCAAGTGTCTTCAAAGACCCTTCACAGTTGACATGCAGCAGTACGTCTTACTGTTAATATCCATTCTCTAACCATCTAGAATATAAGGGAGACATTTTTATGAAAAGCAGATTTACAATAGATGCCGTATTTACATCTATTGCACGTCTGTCCGTCCTGGGAGAGGGATCCCTCCAGGGTTCCCGCGGGGTCTTAAAAAGTCTTACATTTGATAATCTGAATTTAAGGCCTTAAAAAGATCTTAAATATGACCAAAAAAATAAGAAAGGTCTTAAATATGATTTAGAAGGTCTTAAAAATGATCGGATTTGAAAGGTACTTCTGTGTTGGGATCGCGTCTAAATGTGTTTTGGGGGAAATGTCCGGGCTGCAAAGTAACCAGGACGGTAATAGCCTTTCAGTTCCCCCCAACAATTTGTATTGAATTAAATCAACATGGAACCAGTAATCACTAACTTTGTTTCCCCCGGCCCCTTATTGGAGAACACCCAGCTAGTAACCTAGCAACCAAGCTTCAGCTAGCGGCAGTCAGAAACTCATGTATCTTCGAATCACTTACAAATAAATATGGGGAAGTGTCAGTTCAACCGTATTTGGTTGGAAAACATCTAATTTAGTGCTTGGTTGAAACCAGTGGAGGGGAACGTGTTTGAAGCCCGCCGCACCATTTGCAAAAGAAATAAGCGTTCGTTAGCTAGTGGAGCGTTAGCTAGTGGAGCGTTAGCTAGTGCAGGCAGCTCCCGCAACAACACCGGGGGACCTCCGGGCGACGTTTGGGTCTATGTCAACCCTAAAAGCGGAGGTGCTGTAGACGCGAAATACCAATCATACAACACCAACGATGAAATAGTGTAGCCAAGGCAGCAGAGCTCTGAATATAGCTCTCACTCACTCCCTCACTCACTCTCACACACACACACACACACACTAATTAATATCATGATTATTAAATACGATGATTATTAAATTCATTGACTTTGAAAACATCCATTTATTGAACTTTAAAACAAATAATAATTTGAACAGTATCTTTTTAACTGTTGATTACCCTGAACGTATAATTCAACTGAAAAACCAATACAAAAATTAATTAAATAAATGATACATTTAAATAAATAATATCAAAATAATAAATACCAATAAACAAGATCAACAAATATTTTGGAGCGCACTTCCACAAACTATTTGTTGATCTTGTTTATTGGTATTTATTATTTTGATATTATTTATTTAAATGTATCATTTATTTAATTAATTTNTAGCTCGTGGAAGTGCGCTCCAAAATATTTGTTGATCTTGTTTATTGGTATTCATTATTTTGATATTATTTATTTAAATGTATCCTTTATTTAATTAATTTTTGTATTGGTTTTTCAGTTGAATTATACGTTCAGGGTAATCAACAGTTAAAAAGATACTGTTCAAATTTGTATTTTTTTTAAAGTTCAATAAATGGATGCTTTCAAAGTCAATGAATTTAATAATCATCGTATTTNTTGCACAGCCCTAACACACACACACACACACACACACACTCTCAAGCACACACACACACACATACACACTTTTTGTCTAACACGCTAACACAGTTCTGTGTACTGTTATGCTGTTATGTTCAGTCATTGTTCTTATGTTGAACATGAATACATTTACTTTGTAAGTAATTATGGGACGTATTTCTTCTTTCATAGCAATTTTCCTTCATACTTCATTGCCGTGAAATAGGTCTTAAATTCTATTCAAGTCTTAAAAAGTCTTAAATCTGAGTTGGCGAAACCTGCAGGAACCCTGTGTACTACTCCACTACTGATGAAGCCATATCTAGGAGCTTATATTATTTAATAGTTATCCTTTTATTTTATTGTTCTTTTCTGCTTATAGTAAAATTCTTCCTTTTAATTCTTATTTAAGTTTATTAAATAAGTTGTACTATGCCTCTGTTTTTTGTAAAGGCAGTCTTTGGGCACCGGGGGA